TATATTGTTTATGTAAGAACTTTAAATGAGTGTAGTTTATTTATTGTATATCAATTATACCCCCAAAAGGGAAATTCAACTCCTTGGACACCGAGAAGAATCTTGCTTGGGAAAAAAAAGAAAAGAAAAGAAAAGAATTATCTATCTATCTATCTACCTGTATATGTATATATCTAACAATCTAAAGAGGGAAATGGAGTGCGACCCACCTGTACCTTGAAAGGTACAAGAATTTACACAGTAACTGGAAAAGTAGGTCGAATCTAGAAAATGTGGCTTCAATCTTGCAGGAATTCGATCTGTAAAACATCACCTCTACATCCCTGACTTGGGGGACACTTCTGAGTGTAGAAGGGGGTTACCCGACACTTGAGGTTTGCCCAGGGCAGCCCCACTGACACCCAGGGTTCCCATGTAACGACTAAACCTGCGGCCCTTTCCCGCCCAGGAGCATCCCGCCTGCTTCATGCACGTCCCTCTTTCCCACCTGCATGTTCCTCAGCAGCTGGAAGATCTCCATGGTGCGGTACACGATGTCCTGGACCGTCTCCTGCCCGATCCGGCAGAGCGACGCGGTGTTGACCTCCCGGGCGGCCTGCTGAGCCTGGGGCCCGGCGAACGGCCCGGGTGCCATCCCCGACGCCGCCAACGGAGGCGTGGACATGACGCGGCTGCGGCTTCAGGCCGGCAGGGGTCACACAGCAGGCGTTAGGGGGTCGGCCCGGAATTGGGCGTCTTCCGGGACCCCGCGTGGGTAGGGGCTTGAAAGCCCGGTACTGCCTGATTTCAAAACAGCGGCCACTTCTTCCGCCCACCGTGACGTAATGACGTCATCATAACGTCTTGGACACCGCCCACTCGGCGGACCCCTGAGAAACTGCGTCAGCGAGAAGCCAGACGGGATTGGACTGGATACCCTGGAGGGGCGGGACGGACGGGTGAGTAGCCAATCACCAGCTGCGCCCTGGCCAGAGGGGGCGGTATGAGTGGTGGGGGTGGGGCTGGCTTTCCAAGAGTGCGAGCCCCGTGTTACAGTTCGTGGTGCAAGTGTCCTTTTGTGTTAGGTTTCCCACTGAGCATTTTCTCATAGCAAGCTGTAAGGTTTGTAGGATCGTTGTTCTTTTACAGCTAGAGATCAGGCTCAGAAATGGTAAAGGACTTGTTCAGTTGCTTACACTTTGTAACTGGCAACCTGCGATTCGAACTTGGAAAACAAGATTCCTGACCTTTCATGCTTCGCTGTGACGATATTAACTCCTGATTGTTCTTGGTTCCTGCTCAAATGTCGTTTTAGTCGAGGAGCTTTTTCGATCATCCTAAATAAAAAACTAACAGTACACAACAGACACTCTGACTTTGGCATTTATTACTGTCTGATAATTTATACAATCTTCAGTTTACTCTGACGTCCCCTGACCCTATGTACACACATACTCGAATGCAAACTCTGTAAAAACAGGCCATGGCCATATCGATTTTATTCACTTACTGTATTCTCGGCACATAGTGTTTGGCACATAGTGCTCAATAAATACGTGTTGAATGATTGTTGAGTAACATTATATACACAAGAAAAGTAAAAACAAAACCATTTTCTCACCTACATCTTACTGCCCATTTCCAAAGGAAGGATAGGGAGCGAGAGTCAAGAATGTAAAAATCGGCGACAGACACAACCTTATTCATTTTTAAAAGTATCTGAACATTCCATTACTAAGGGCTTTCCAGGAAATGGTTACTAAAAAAATGAGATAGGAACCATTGTAGAGATTTACAAAATAACGAATTGCAGCTCTTTAGTAAGCAATTACCATTTGAAAAATGTTTACTGAGAACCTATTGTGTGCTGGGTGCTAGGAACAGAGATAGTGTCATGAACAAGTCAGGCATAAGCCCAGCTCTCATGGAGACAGACAGAACACTAATTATTGTGATGAGTGTCTTGGAGCAAAAGTTCAAGGTTCTGATATCACGGTGTTAACAATTTAGGAGATCAGGAAAAACATTCCAGTATCCTAACTGGAATGGAGTGAGTTGGGACCTGAAGGTAGTTGGGGGAGTTGGTGCTGAACATTAGTGTCTTTATATGAGGAGGAAAGTGATCAAAGAAGGCCAGTGCCAACACCCAAGGTGAGGAGGCCTCCTCATGCTTTCCAGGATCTTAAAGAAGTTTAGTGCGAGGATGAATGTCAGGAAATAAGGCTGAAGACAGGCTATGTCAAGAAGTTTAGACTTTAATCTGAGTGAAAGAGCAAGCCACTGTAGAATTTCAAGGAGAGAAGAGTAATTACCTGAAATATCCAATTTAAAAGACTTACTCTTGGCTGCAAAATACAGAATGGATGGTGGGTGTGTACTGTCCCCCTCTGCCTTGTATGAATG